ACACACACAATACGGTAATATTATGTTGAAGCACAGTACGTATCACTCCGCCAGGCTCCTGCCTACGATAGCCCTAATGCTCCGACAATCCATCAAGCGGTGCGGCTTCGTAGCTTAGCAAAGTCGTACTAAAACATTCAACAGATGTTCGAGCGCCGTGTACTAGTGATGTGCGATATCACTGATTTCCTTTCTGATCCGATACCAAGTAAAATTCAGGGTGGTATCGGCGATACTGATCCGATACCGATACTCTGTACAAAAACTTAATGTTTCATTGTATTGCATAATGCAATATATAATTGTATTATGTAATTGTAATAATAACATAACCATATTGCTTCATAATGATTAGAGGACAACTTGTTTTTATTGCTTAATAATGCAGAATAATCATATAGAAATAAAAAAAAACCCTGAAGTTGTGCGCTATTTGAGCATGTTGCCTGCCTGCAGCACTATGAACTCCGCGAGAGACGTCTGTCTTCCCCTAGCAGCACCTGCCCCTCTCCTCTTCAGTTCGCCTCAACATAAGCTCATCATATTCTGTGATATGATTTACTCTGAGGTGTTTGACAAGGTCAGTGGTGTTGCCACAACACCTCACTGTCTTGCCACATATATCACAAACCGCGTCTTGGCTGTTTGTGGAGGTAAAACACATCCACACATGACTCTGTTTGCGCTCAGCCATTGTTGTGAGTGTGCACCCTAGGGGCTGCGACACATTTATACAGCCGTATTTCACACATGACTATGAAAGGCGTAAGAGGAAGTAGTTCCTTCCAAATTAGACAATCCGAATGATATAGTTTCTTTCCACTGCGTTCATTTTAATGGAAAACTACAAATTTACCGCACAGTACTAAAATATCGATATTATAATATGAGAATCGATTCTAGAACATAAATTGCTGGTATCGGAAGAATCGATATTTCAGTATCGATCCGCACATCACTACCGTGTACCACATAAAATCGTTTCGAGATCAGTAAACACAACCAGAACTCATACATAAGGCACACGGGATTATAAGGGGCACTGTCGATTGTCAGAAAAATCAAAGGATTGATTTTAAGTGTGCCGTATTTTTAAAAAAACGCGGTAATAACGACGGCCTGCTAGCATGCTCTACCAAAAATAGTGCTATGTTGTGTATCTGATGGACGAAAGCTAAACCAGTTCCACACCACTGAAGTTGCAGCATTTTTACAAACCAGTTCTGGTTTCATTCAATGATCCACTTTCGCCCTTCTCATTCTCCGTCACCGCCATGCTTTTTTCACCATGTGCGTATGAAAACAAAGGCACTGCACATGTGCGTTTTACCCATATTCTATCGCGATATTTCATTTTCTTATCATTGTCCAACATTATACTGGTATTACCGTGAACGGTATGATATGGCCCAGCCCTACTTGCTGGTGTGTTTCAGATCATTATCCTACTGCATAACCCAAGTGCACTTGAGCTTCAGGGCATAAGCTAATGGCTGGACATTCTCCTTCAGGATTTTCAAGTAGAGAGGAGAATTCATGAGTCCATCAGTTATGCCAAATTGTTCCCATCCTTAAGCAGCAAACCTATGATCGCACCACCACGTTGCTTGACTGTTGCTATGACGTATTTTTATGAAATGCTGTGTTAGTTTTACAGCAGAACACAAACCAAAAGAAATTCAAAGAAATTCCAATTTTTAAAGGTCAGTTCACAGAATATTCTTCCACCATTGTTTTCCAGTTTCTTTCTTTTTCTTGAATTATCATCGCTGACCATGATTGAGACATGTGAGGCAATTCATAAATGTTCTGACTTCTTCTTTCTTGTAGCCTATTTTTGTCAGACAGGTGCTATTTAAGTGACTTTTTTTAATTCAACTGGCCTGGTAATACTTGGGTGTGACTGGTGAAAGTTTACTCAGCTCTCCAAAAAAGTGGTTAACCAAAGTTAATTCATTATTTAACAAGAAAGGGCAATTACTTTTTCCACATAGGGCCATGTTGGTTGGTTTGGATATCCTCCCCTTAATAAATTAGATCATTATTGCAAACAGCATTTTATATTTACTGTTTTTATCTTTTCTAATATTAAAATTAGTTTCGATGACCTGAAACATGTGTGACACATGTTATTAAAAATAAGAAAAATAAGAAATTACCAATAATTTTCACAGCACTCTATATTCCTTCAGCTATATTTGCTTTTTATAATTTGCTATATACAAGTGACAGTGTTCCTTTTGCCTGTTTGACCTCATGATGGCACTGTTGTCTCACTGCTAATACAGAGGCACAATAGACAAAATGATGTAGAAGCTTGCCTTTATTACCATATTGTTGTTATAGTAGCAAGACGGGTTAAAGTTCTGGTGCAGAACAATTTTTTATTCACTACCTGGGTCTGGATGCAGTTTCCCCCTCCAGGGGCAAGGGTACCTAGACCTGGGGTATAGACTACGTTTGGGGAGTGTGATCGTGTGTACAGTGTCTCTGTATGTCTGTCTCCACGTTGGGTGAGTGCTGAGTATTTGCATATGAGAGCATGAGGGTGGGAATGGATGTTTGTATCTGTGTGTGCCTGTTTGTTTGTGTCTATATGTCAGGTCGGGTATCAGACGCCACCTCTCTGGGGACATCTCAGGCCCTCCAAGGTATGGAGGCCTATCTCCCCCCAGCACTCCCCCCGCCAGTTGCAGACGCCCTCAGACATCGGTGCATTGGTGGGTCTTTGTGTCCGGGGATGGGCGTCCAGGTACGCACCGGCTCACTCCTTGGTGGCTGCTTATCGGGGCCTGTAGCCTGTGGCTCGCTCGGGCCACTTTCGGGGTGGGGTGCCCTAGGCCTCTCGGCCTGGGGCTCGGTCACTCTGGCACAGCTGGCTGCCGGCGGAGCTCACGGGCACGTCACTGCAACCCCCCCTGGCTTCTGCTCCGCGGCTGCTGAGTGACCCCTCATCTGGGGCTCTCCTCAGCTCTTTCTGGGATAGTGGCGCGGTTGCCCCTCCGTTGGTCTTCCTTGGTCTCTTGTAATGATCTGCTCTAGGGGCCTCTGGATGTCTGGAGCCTGGATCTCCTCTATACCTGCTTCATGCCGTAGCAGATCATTACATGAAGGAACCTTTTAAATACAAGCGCGCTCATGCTCACAGGTGTACACACGGGTGCTCACAGACACAAACTACACCCTTTTTGGCTCCTACCTCAAAGAACACTGTGCGCTGTAAATCTTGACCTCCCTCCCCCCGGTCATGTCTGTCCCATCTGCAACAACTGAAAATAAAATAAAATAAATAAATAATAATAACAAAAGTCAATCAAATGGACCAATACGGCAAGGCAGGGATGGTCCACTTGGTAAAGTAATTCCGTTGGGCTTCTCTCTTTGCCTTCAGACAATAATTCTGATGGCAAAAGAACCAAACAGGACAGGTGGCCAAAAAAAAAAAAGGACAATTTTTTTTTATGCTAGAGTTTTGATGGGAGGTTGGAACATGAAGTTGAGCTAGACGGGACAAGCAATAAATTTTTATGCCATTAAGAGGGTGTAGCCCCCAACACTAAAATGTGTTGAGAAGTAGTTGGGATAAAATCAAAGGTACCTCTATCCAGAGTGAAATATTATAGTCAAGACTCTTTTATACTGTGTATATTTTGAGTTACTTGTTTTATTGCTGCCCACACTCACAGTGTTGTGTTTTGTCAGGGGGCAAAGGTCGCTGCATCAAACACAACCAGCAGTGGTACACTCCCACTGAGTTTGAAGGTCTCGCAGGGCGAGCAAGCAGCAAAGACTGGAAGAGGAGCATCAGATATGCTGGCAGACCTCTGCTCTGCCTCATACAGGTAATTAAATATACTGCTTCACTACTATCTCACTATCGTACTACTGCAGTGCTGCACTGTATTGTGTGATGCAAAGAAATTTGCATTTCCAATTTGTGAATTTGGATTTTCCTAAGCTAATCTTGAGCCACGAAACTAGCAAAGTATTCTAGAGTCAAATGTGAGACCATCTGTCTGATAGCTAAAAATCGACTGATTGGCTCATGCAGCTGGACAATGATCCTAAGAACACCAACAAATATGAAACAGAATAGCTGAAAAAGAAAAGTATCAAGATGTTGCAATGGCCTTTGACATTAAGAGAGATGTGCATAAATGAACCCCTGTAAACCTCAATGAACTGAAGCAACGTTGTAAAGAAGAGTGAGCCAGAATTTCTCCACAACAATGTGAGAGACTGAGTCACACAGAAAACAATTACTTTTCTAAAACTTTTTTTCTAGTTAGTCCTTTGTTTATAAAAGGAGGTGGGCTAATCCATGCAAAACCTCATGCAGTAAACCTGTGTTTGCAGGAGCGTATCTTGAACCCCCATGCTGCCTCCTGTACCTGTGCAGCCTGCTGTGATGACCTGATAGCGGTGAGTGAAGTGGACAAGTCCTGATGACCCTTTAAATCAGTCCGTTAATTAGAAATTATTTAAATTATCATAATCTGAGATGTTACACATAATATCTGAATAATATCTGTTTGTGTTCGTCTTATTTTTTGCATCATTAGTGTCCAAAGGAGGGAGACTCTTTGGGAGAAGAAAATATCAGCATGGTAAATGATTTTTTCTTTTTGTTTTTTTGTTTTTTGTTAATGTCCATCACTATAACTTCATTTCCAGATGCTTTATCTTGCGATCTATATGGAGATACATTATCATTAAACAAAATAATAATGATTCTCTCAGTCTGTGCTGTGATCACATCTCAGGGTGAATATTACAGCAGTGTGCCTATTAATAAACAAGATGGCTTCTTTTTTAGGCCTTCTCCTAGTCCCCAGTTTAAACACAGAAGGGAGCTACTTCTTCTGCGACACAAGGGCTTCACATGTAATTTTTCTTGAGGCATCATTTAAGCTTTGAGGCTTCTTGATTAAGTCTCTACGAATCAAAAATATACAACAAAGCAAATTAAAGCAGTCTGGGCTTTCCTTACTGGCTCAACAAAACTCAAAACCTAAACATATATAACACGTGTCGCGCGATGGTTATTGGTTTTCTTTGTTAACTCGGGTTCCCTCCATGCTCACATAGATGGCAGCATGTGACACATTGCTCTAATCTTGTACCACAAAATCAAATGGATCAGTTGAGCACCAGCTACTCAAAGGAACAGCTGATACAGCTCTATGACATCAAATAAGGCTGCACCAGAATCTGGTGATTTGGTAATCGCAGGAGCACAAGTGCACTCTCTGTGCTGCTCTTACTTATGAAATGACAGCTGCACATTAGAGCGCTAACATTTAACCCTTTACAGTAATGTATGATAATAATAATAACTTCATTTTGAATTTTTGTTTTCTGTTCAGGTTAGTTTCACTAGACATCCCAGTAACAACAACATTTGCACCAAAACCTTCTTATGCAATTATTATTAGTTAATATTTTTAGTTACTGCACAATATATTTTTTTTATTTGTTTTTTTACATTGTTACTTAAATTAATAGAAATGTAACTAAATATAACTGTAAGTACTTAGTGATGACTATCTTAAAACAGACAAGAATTTAAAACAGTAATGGTTTATCGGTATCAGCAGTCATTTTGTTGTCTCTGCTTTCATTTGATTTCTTAGATGTTGCAGTGATTTTATCTCTGTTCTCTTTCTGCTTGACTCAGACCGGGCCCGTACGCCTCTTTGTCCCGTACAAAAGACGAAAGAAGGACACTGAGCCTGTGATCATTCCTGCCAAGAAGGAACTTCCTGCTACCAAGAACATTACGTTGACTCCGGGAACCACATGTGGGTCACATGGGCTCACAGCTCATGATTTTGTAACTTTGTGCACTTACAGCCAGGGATAGTTGTTTTGATCTAGAATTCATCTTCCTTCTCAAATCATTTCCTGTACTTAAATTTGTGTTCCTGAAAATTTTAATTAATTAAAAGTTTATTCTCAAGTTCTCAAAATCAGATCTGTAAAGTAAAAAATGTAAGCCCAACCTTTAAACTATTTGTTGTCCAAACATGAATCACACTTCTGTTTCTTTCTTACAGTCACAGTGTCCCCATCTGGGCAGTTCACTACTTCTGGGACCTTGACCTTTGACCGCACGCCAACAGGCGACGCCGCTGCTGCCATCATCTCAGAGGGCTCGGCACAGAGCGAGGTGTTTGCCAGCACCGCAGGTACCATCCCCTGAGTGACTGAGAATTCATTCAGTCGTACATTGTAGTGCATTTGTTTGAGTAGGCACTTAAACAATCACAATTCTCAGTGTGGGAATCAGCCCATTGGTCCTTGAAATTATTCACCTCCACAAACACAAAAATATATACATATCCTGCATGGAAAACCAAACCGTTTGGTTTTGAATTTAGTTGTTTTAATCAACATCCATGCAGGATATGTATATATTTTTGTGTTTGTGTTTGAAACCTATTATATGGAAAGTCATTTCACTCTAGATCGACAATATACACCTTCACAGTTTTACTTATTCAATATCAAGTCAGTCTGATTTTGGATTTCAAAAACCCCCCAAAAAACAAGAAGTTTCCTTTTGATAGCCTTCAGAATTCAGCCTGCTTTGACTGTTTTTCTGGAGACTGTCTTGATGGCAGTAAATGTCACCGTTGTGGCTCTTTTACTGAAGTAGTCTGTGTGTTAACTTAATAAAAAAGGACCTCAGCAAAACTCGAAAACATTGACATTTTAAAAGCTTATAATCAAAAAAGCTCAGATACTGTGGGAGGAGTCTGACTGCAAAATGTAGGAAAAGCAGCCAAAACATGCTCAGAATATGTGGAACCTCAAGACTAATGAAAAACCTCCAGGTGTCAGGCCTATGAAGTGTGCAAAGCTGTTATTAAAGAAGAATGTAGTTATTTTAATCAACATCCAAAATACAATTTGGTCTGTTTGCACTTAAAGCAAGGAGTACAGTGAATCACTCGAACACTTCCAGTGTGTGGCCGTTTTAAACCATCACCAGCTGAGATACAGACAGGTCCAAGTCTAAAAATAACCAGACATCTATCACACACTGTGTTTTAACACATCCTTGAGAAACAAAAAAGGTGTGTGAGTGCTCTCACAGGTAAATGGTGGTGTGTTTTACACTATAACACTTTAGTAGACTCTTACTTTCTTACTAACCTGACAGAAAAAGGTACAAAAAATCTAATTAAATTTGATTCTGTGGACTTAAAATGATGACAAAGCTTACAAGCAGAAGCACCGAGGCCTAGGTTGCTTCGTTAACCTTGTGGTGAAGGACACAGAGGCAGTTCAGACAGCTCACATGTGTGACTACTTGTGGAGACTCATTGCCCAGTTCTGTAGACAATCCATAATCCATTGTCTGGGACTACAGCTGGTGACAATGGTCCTTTTTCTGCTCTGATTATTGTCTGCAAGCTGGTCAATCACTCTAACCAGAACCTGTTTGAGAGCTGGTTCAACCTAAGCTGAGCTCTCTGAGGCTGCAGAGCAGAAGACTACTGTTGTAAACTGCAGTTCAAGGTGTTGGAGTCTTGCCTGCTTTAGCACATTTATCGCTACGGGTAATTTCCAACTCATGTACCTTGTTGGGTTTTTACATTCACAAAGTGAGACATAAAAAACGCCTTAGATAAATGATTTCAAAGCGCATTTATTTTGAAACTGCTATCAAATTGGTTTCTGATCATTTTATTGCCGTGCTTGATTGGCCAGCCAATCCCCCTCACCTGAACCTCACCTGTTGGGTATTATCAAGAGGAAGATGAGAAACAGCCAACCCAGAAATGCAAATGAGAGATACCAAAGCAACCTAGGCTTCAAAAACACTTCAGCAGGCCCAAAAGCTGATCACCTCAATGCCACACCATGCTGAATCAGCAGTTAGTGGCAAAGACATTCAGCCAAATACTGAGTTTGTACATAAAGATACTTTTCAGACGTTGGACATTTCTTTATTGTAAATCCATTTTTTTAGTTGATCTTAGGAAATATTCTAATAATAGGATACACCAGATTTTCATGAAACTGTAACAGCAAATTTCAGACAGTGTAGCAGAAAAAGATCAACAGCTGTCTTTTCTTCTCTCGGTCAGTGCTAACGGCATTGCCAGCGTTAGCTGTTGCTCATCAGCCAGTTCAGGCCAAAGTCGCAGTGGCAGCTGCAGCGGCATCTCCATCGGCAGGGCTTGTGGCTGGGCTTGATGTGGGGCCTATTGGGGGAGCAGAGCCAATAGTGAGCGAGGGGCAGAAGAACACTTGGATATACCTGGAGGAGATGGCCAACACACTGCTGAACAATGTCCAGCAGCTCAAGGCTCTGATCGAACAGGCCAAAAACTCTGCAGGGGACCTTGTAGGGGTCAGAAGTAATGGCGGCAGGAAGGAGGTGAGCACACACACACACATACACAAAAGGTGTGAGATTTAGATCAGCAGTAACAACAAATGGATTTGACTTTAATCTTTGTTTTGTGTGTGTGTGTGTGTGTGTGCGTGCGTGCGTGCGTGCGTGCGTGCGTGCGTGTGTTTAGTGTGGTCTTACCCAGCCGTTTCAGAACCAGATCTCATTTCAGCAGCCAGATGACTCTGAAGCTAAGAGGGGCACTGAAATCACTGAGATCATCATCAATGTATGACATGCTTACATACACACTCACTTGCTCCAAAATATTATTGAAATTCCTTACATTTCTTATTTAGCACAAGTCTTAAAGAAGTATTGTGACCTGAGACATCCACACTTTTCGTTCCAAGCACACTACATTTCACAATTAGGTGTTTGTTGTTGTTTTTTTAATAGTTTCCCCTCATTCATGAATAAGACCCTGAGATACTTTAATTTGTTGCTTCTATTCTGACATGGAATGGACTCCTCATGCCTGCAGCTACCACCTTGTCATGTTGGAGGGTTTTGAGGGTCCTAGTAATCAAAGTCTTTAACCCATGGGGCTGAGCCCGAATGAGTCACATGGCCCAGTCATTCTGTGGGCCCATCATCTGCAGGAGGTGCCAAAAGGGTCAGGTGCAATGTAGTGATTATAGCAACTAGCTCCTGGGTCATGGAATGAATACATTTTTTAAGATTATTTACATCTTATTGTTAAAAAATTCTGATTTGCAAATTACCCCAAAAGTTTGAGGCACAAATACTGCATTGAACACCTCGTGTATCTAAAACTCCAGTGTAAATATATAAAAAAAAAAAACACATGGAAGCAGAGAATTTTAGTCTTCTTTTCTTTTTTTAATCAAGCTTTTGGATTATACCATATACTGTAAAGAAGCATATAGATATAACGAGTTATCAAGACAAGAGTTCTCAGTGACAAAGTTCTTGATGAATCATCTGCAGAGCTGAATGCTGTAGCTATCATGTTCACAGGCTCCTGCTTTGTTTCTGCAGCAGATGTGCGTAAACTGTGGCCGGGTGGCGATGAGTGAGTGCACAGGCTGTCACAAAGTCAACTACTGCTCCACATTTTGCCAGAGGAAGGTAAGACTCAACTGTCTTTTTTCTGTCAGACACACAAAAAATAGACAGATTTCCCTGACATTTGTTATGAGTCTTTACTAATGTTTTTTCATGACAGTGCAGTTTAAAAAATAATTTATTGTTACAGCAGTCGTTGATTACTCTGTTACATTCAAATCAGCTGGTAGTTGGATTTGTTGGGTTTCAAACATGTTTCCAACAGGGGTGTTGAAGAGTTGTGCAAAATCAAACTCATAACATGCCTGTAAAGTGTTTCTGCTGTTTCTTCTTACTGATATATTTGCAAATAGCTAATATTATAACTTACTGGTTTGGTTTTTAAAGCCTTAATACACGTGTGTTGGCTGCAGCCATGTTTCTTTTCCAGAGGTGACCATATTTGGAGGTAATCCTAAATTATCAGCTAAAGTTAACAAATATTGTCAGCAAGCTGCATTCATAAACTAATCCCCTCATAGGTACACTATAATTTTTACAAAGTAACAGACTAT